TACTTTGACTTATTGAAACCTCTACGCTAGTTGAGGCTTTGGGCTCCAAGGGCGAGTTGCATCGTCCACGCCATGCAGAAAGAGAGCCGGGATGAAGGAGTTGCCAACGTGCTCTATCGGTGATAGCTCCTAAGATCGAGTTGGTTTATAGGGTATAGGGTAGAAGGCTTTGGGTGTAGAGGGCTTTTTGCTTCTGGTTGGCTCTGTTCGTCGTTGTCTTTCCATGGCAAGTGCCACAGGGTTCCTGGTGAGGGTTGCTAAGAGCCCCAGTTCGAGCGAGCAGCATCGATATCGAAGCTGCAAAGCAACCTCGGCTGGCACGGCGGGTTGACCCATGACAAATCCAAACCAAAAGCCACAGCTCGCAAAAGCCGATGGAGACGATCAGCTGAAGTGCGCTTGAGATCTTTCACGGATGAGGGACGCCAAGGTAGTAGTAGGATCCCTCCACCTCATAGCAACCTATGCCCACATGAAATTCTCATAACAACTTAACCAAATCCATCCTGAACTCTTGGACCTACTTGAACCCTAAAGCCTTCCGAAGCCCAAGGCGCTTTATCCGTAGCCGCCCCAGCGCTAAAGCACCCGAGAGTAGCCAGCTCGGTACTTTCACCGAAAGGTACTCCTGGGTTCAGGGTCTGTAAGGGTTTAGGGTTTAGGGTCTTTTAACGGTTTGGGGTTAAGGGTTCAGGGTCTTTTAAGTAGGGTTTAGGGTTTAGGGTTCCGGGTCTTTTTAGGGTGTCAGGGCGGTGTTTAGGGCTGTCAAGGTTAAAGCTCACGGCCTTTATCCGTTCGAGTCTTTTAACGGAATTGTCAGGTTTCTATAGGGTCGGGACGATATGTTCATAGGCTATTGGGCATTCAGCCGTTTAGGCATTTGGTGTTTCTTCCAGTTATGCCTTTCAATGCTGAAGGTCGGAGGTTTTGCGGCTTCTATGCCCAAAAACATCCCTAAACCCAAAAATTTGTTTGGCATCAGGGCTTAAACCCTAAAACACCCCTAAACCCTAAGCCCCTTGTTGAAGCCAGGGCGCGCTCTGCGCCAGCTCTCCGGCAAGTTGCCGAAGATTGCAGAACGGACTATCGAGAACCTCAGCTTCACAATTCCACAAGAAGCCGATTGCTATAGGGATCTTAAGCGGGTTTTACGAAGGGACTAACTTAAGGGTTTCAAGAAACTTTCGCAGGAGTTCTTTGGTATTTCTGAGGGTCTCAGACCTTCAGAAACGCAGGGGAAAAATGTCACACGGAGGCCGGGCCGAAGAGTCGGTTACGCAAGCAGGTCATCAAGGGTTTAGGGTTTAGGGTTTGGGGATGGTTTGGGGTTTAGGGTTTGGGGTTTGGCGTTTAGGGTTTTGGGGTTTAGGGTTTGGGGTGTACAAGTGTAGGGTTTAGGGCATCTCAACAGCCATTCTGGATTTATGACCTAAATCCTTTGGGAAGACAAATCCCAAGGTTTGGCTGGCTTTATCATTACGATGGGGGGGAGGCCAGAAGCCCTCAACAGAAGCCCTCAACGCTCGAAGCCTTTTTTTTTGCAGCTGGGCTCCTGGCGATTTCATGACCCTCACAGCCCTGACCCCGAAACTCTGAAACCATGTGCCCGAAAGCCCTACCTTCACAGCCCTAAGCTCCCTTCATCATGGCGGCCATGCCGGCAATGGAGTGATCTCGGTCTGCGTGCATCAAAGCGGTGACGGCACCCATCGACCGACCCCACCTGATGGATTTTAGGGTTCTGGGCTCGGAGGATGTATTCGGGTTGTCGGGCGATGAAAGGATGGACCCTGGACGAATAAAGTGTTTCAGACTTGCTCGGGCTTGGGGATAAGCTTGATACGGCTCGATGCTGAAGCCAGAGAGAGCTCCACGTCTTCTGCGTGCGCTGACGTGGAGACACCAAAAGGGCCCCAATCTTGAGGGCTGGCCTCTTTTGGCTCCACACTGTATAAGGTGGCCACAGAAGCCACGGCAGCATCACTACGTAAACCCTGCAAGATATGCCTGAAATTAACCCTATAAACCCTAAACCCTAAACCCTATATAAGACTACCGCAGCCTCACAGCACGACCTTTCTGCAGACACTGGGCCTCTGCTTAAGGAGGCCTTCCTCAAACTGCAGGGTTATTTTATTGACAGTATATTCTTTCTTAACTACTGCGTAGGATTACTTTTGTATTTTGATTACACTGTTGGCATTCTTCGCATGATCATTGGTATTCATGTCTATTGCTATTATTCGATACTAGTACTACTAGTACTATTTGTTGATTCTGATTTCTGTTGTGGACGTGTTTTTGGATAACCGAATACAGAGGCACTCAGAATCAGTTGCCTGCTTTGCCAAGTCACAGTCCGATGGAAGATACCAGCCCGGAGTCACGAAGATGTTTCACCTTGGCAATACCAAGAAGTTATACTGAACCCCAGAAAGTTGGAAACCGGATTGAGGACAAACAGTGCTGGGATTCCCTCTACATTACTCTTCAGGATTGAGGCTATTGGGTTTCCAACTTTTGGGCGTCTATTCTAGTTCTGATACTCATACTAATAGTTGACTTCTAGAGTTACTCTACTGATAGAATCGAAATACAAAACAAGGAGTAATCCTGATCCTCATACGAATACAGTCACGGAGGTGTTTTGCATTGAAATCGGAAAACGAGGTCCAATGAATTCAAGACGAGGCTTATGAGCTATGGCTTACTGTAAGGAGGGGTTTACGTCTTCGGATGTAGGGGACTTAGGGCCAAGAGCTCCAGGCTATAAGACTGTAGGGTGTCCCGTCATGGAAGAAATGGTGCTTGCAAGTTGTTGGGAATCTGAGTGGTACGCTTCTTCCGGAGCAGGGATAACCCTGCTGAGGGATAGAAATATGTGTGTGTGTGTGTGTNNGGGTGGTGTTGTTTCCCCTGGGACTGCGCACCAACGAAAGTCACGAAAGTCTGAATGTCATTCTGGTTCGGGCTTTAAGCGTACGGGTGGGGAGGCGAAAGCCTGTGTCCTCGACCTTGAGTAAAGCTTTAACCAGGAGCTCTCTGATGTGGTGAACCGAACGCTCAAGGGAGCCTGAAAGGCACAGCGCCCGATCAAGCCAAACATGAGCGCAAAGTCTTGGGGTTGAGACCGGCTTGTATCAACAAGTCAGAGGAGAAGGGTTTAGGGTTTAGGCTTGAGATTCTGGTTTTCGGCTCAAGAAAGATGTCGCTGCCAGGGGGCACAATCTGCCAAGTCGTCTCGCTCAAACCTGAAGAGGGTCCAACTTGCTGGCCTCTTGGAAACGACTTCTACATGTCTACCAACATTGCCGCTTGGAGCGAGCGCCAACAGATCACAAGAAGATGCATCCAGGAGCCATCCGAGGGAGATGTAATCGCCATCGCTCTCGCCGCAGCCCGCAAAATCAAAGCAGAACCTCAGCAGCAGCTTGCAGAAGCTGTAACCCCCACCCAAAGTCAGCTTTCCAGGTCAAAGGAGCCCAAGCCCACAGTGCCTCAACAACAGTTGAACAACCGACCATCTAGTCGGAGACCCTCACGGACACCATATGCCTTGAACTAGAACAAGCAGAAGCCTACACCCCTGAATCATGACGTTAGTTCGGTTGCTAGCAACAAAGAGATGCCCAGCGGAAGGAAGAGCGGGACCAGCTGGAAAGCCTCTAACCTCTCAGCTGGTTGGATTGAGGCCTCAGGCCTCAGGGTGTACGTAGGGCAGGGTCTCACCTGTCCACTTAGACTGGCAAGGCGAGGCACAAGATTCCGCCCCCACAGGTTCTACATCAGACATAGACGAACGAACTGCATCAGGCGAGGCATGTTAGAAGAAGAGTTTACACTCTCGAAGAGTTTAGGGTTTAGGGGGCGCTTAAGTTGGGCTTGGAGGTCTGGTGACAGAGGCTTGGTGAAGGTTTTGTTGAATGGCCGTGCCAACGACAGACATTGGGAATTGAAGCCTTGCACCTGGTGCTCTGGATGTCTCTGTAGTGGGAAACTGTTTACTTGACGACCCTTTTGAACGAGGTGTCTCTGAAGTTGACGAACCTAAACCTTAAACCCATGGATGCGTAAACGAAGAGATAACAGACAGGCCGAGTCAGTCTTACAATTGCATAGCTTGGACCGAAAGAAACACTGACAGATAAAAGCCACACATGCACCCATACCGGACTCCCCCAAAGCCGAATCGCAACCCCCCCCTCCAACACGGTCCTGCACGAGGCATTCTGGTGCAAATACACCACCTGTGGCTTCACAGCATGCGGGCTGCAGTACTGCTTTGCTACGAAGATCAACCTTACAGTAGTACAATCGGAATGATGATGGCTCCGCTCGCTTCTGCTGCGGGGTTCAGAGTGTTGATCAAGCTCCCACGACTTAAAGCAATGACTCTACAAGTCGTCAACAAGTATCACGGTTTGAAGGCGTGGCATGTGTTTACCCTTACATGTCTATGCACTTACTGTCACATGTACATATTCATGTATTCATGTCATGACGTATTTGCGACTGTGTATGTGTATATATATATATACATACATACATACATACATACATACATACATACATAAATACATAAACAAATAAATAAATATATATATATATATATGTATGTATGTGCCAAAACTGTTTAACATCGTGCACAGTAAATGAAGTATGGGCAATGGCAATGGAGATGTGATGCAGAACCCGAAGCGCCAAACCCTCAACCCCCAAGCTCTGACATCACGTCCTATCCCACCCTACGCCCCTGTGGAATGAACGCCCACCTGAACCCTCTCCACCGGTTTCATGGTCAAGGGGTGAGGGCTGGATAAGCAGTTTGGGGTTCGAAGTTTCATAGTTGGAGATGCCAAGCGAGGTTCTTGGTGCATTGCCGGCTGGACGTGAAACCTACGTGTGGAGGAGGGATGACTTCTCTCGGGGCTCAAGGCTTGCTATGGTTTAGCTCCGAAGTCTACACCCAGGCCCGAATCAAAACTCCCGTAGGCCCTAACGCCGACGCCGAAACCACCACGTGAACCAACCACGAAACCCTTCCAAACAAAGATCGGACGCTAAACCCTGAAACCTAACTAAATCCTAAACAGGGGCACCGGAGAATCCTCCATTTTTGCTACCGGGCAAACGGAGCCATGGGAAGATCAGTGATGTGATGGGCCAGACCCTGGGCCCGGATAATGACGAGTCCAAAGAAACCAGTGAACCCTAAAGTCTAAGGCCTACCGTCACCCCAAATAACCTACCTTGTTAAGGACTTATATATAGAGGAGTCATAGTAGGGAAACCCGACAAAGGTAGGTTCTTTGAGGTGAGGTCCCGGTAAACCCTAAATCACGAAGCCCTCCAGAAACCCCGAATCTCTGAACCCGCAAATCCTCCCAAATCCTACACCCCTAAACCCTAAACCCTGAACCCTAAACCCTAAACCCTAAACCCTAAACCCTAAATTAAAAAACTGCGCAGAATGCCGCCAAGGGGCGCAGGGCCTAGGTTCGGCTCTGCCGCTCGGTAGGTCTGGGAGGAAGTGTGAACACCTGTCTGCTTTGAGGGAACTCGGGGGAGAACAGGCTTGAGGGCTTCGGGTTTAAACTTTAGGGTTTAGTTTAGGGTTTAGGGTTTAGGGTTTAGGGTTTAGGGTTTGTTCTACTTGCCTCCTACTTCGCAAGCTTGAGCCCTTCAAATTGTGTAGCTGCAGTGGGCCTGCCTGCATGAGCCGTAGGTTTAGCCTCGTCCCTGAAGGTGCGCCGCTGCCAGGAAGGCACATACCATGCCTCATCATGCCTCCAGAAACTCCGAAACAATCGCGACCAGCAGGTTTCCTGCCGTCTGTGACCCCGCAAACCGACAAACCTAACCCCAAACCAAACACGAAATCCTAAACCAAAATAGGGGCCTTGATAATTAGAATAGGGTCTTGGGGCCCACTGTACTGTAGGTATAATAAGGATCCCCAAATAGTATAAGTAATTATTCAGGCCCCGATCTCAAGCCCTAAACCGACCCTCAACCCTTGTTCTCAACCGGTCGGGAAGACCGTACAACTGACAGAGCGATATGCTTAGCAAAATGCCAAGCGGCCGACTTGTGATGCCCACGCTACAGGCTTTGAAGCTCGCAAGGATGTGTAACGCAAACATGTTGTCAAAAAACAACACGACAAATCTCCAAGTACGCTGTCAAGAACCGGCTCCACGCAGAATCGTTGTACAATCGGCTATCCCACCTTGGAAACCCCTAGGAAAGACGAATCTAAACCCTGATACAGGACCCTTAAAGGAAGCCCTTAAACCCCAAATAGATCCCGTAAAGGGACCCTTCTAGGGCTTCGTTGTAAGGGTTCGGACGATTCTGCCCCCCCTTACCTTGGACGAACCACCCGGAGCCGGAGCCTCAATTTCATTCCCCGCGAGCTCACGAGATCGATGTCCTGCGATTGGTGTAAAGGAGCAGGGTTTCGGGGTTTCTTGGGGTTCATCAGGGCTTGTAACGGTTTCGGGTTTGTGGCTTGCAGCTTATCTTATACGGGCTTAGATCTTAGGGTTTAGGGTGGGTTTACGGTTTAGGCTGTATGTTTCAAGGTTTAGGTCAGTTTAGTGAGCTTGCCAGGCTTTCATGGCCGTTCTATAGGCTTGTATTTTTCGGGTCGTGAACTCCAGCAAGCATTCCTGCAACTGTCACTACAATTGCTGCTATAAGACTGGAAGAGCCACGATAAGGCCTTGTACAAGGGCCACTGTAAGGGCCACTACATATCGATGCCAGGGTACTTGAAGGGCCCCGCAACCCTAAACCTTGGGTTGCCTGAAGATCTCTTGGGTTTCGATCTTGCCAGAACTAGAGCCCAGCATGTCTCTAACAAAATCTTGAATAAACACTTCCCTAGTCCCTGGAAGCCTCTATCTGGGTAGTAGTACTAGACATAGTAGTAGCAGTAGTAGTAGTAGTAGTAGTAGTAGTAGTAGCAGCAGGAGTAGTAGTAGTAGTAGTAGTAGTAGTGGTGGTAGTAGTAGTAGTAGTAGTAGTAGTCGTCGTCGTCGTAGGAGTAGCAGTAGCAGT